ATATATATATATATATTTATATGTATATTGTTATGCATAGACAAACTTTTTTGGAACATACCAGTGAGAAAGTCAGTGCTTCGGTGAATCCCGCTTGAGCTATCTCTACCCGTATTTGGTCAGTAAGTTTGTTGAGTGGAAACTGCAATTTACATATTTGTATGTACACAAGTACGTGACATCGATACATGAAATTATATTCAGAGTTTATAGAATATTTACTTCTGCTGCGACTGTCGATATATTTGGTATAGTTTTTTCTATTTTGTTGTATCCGTAAGCAATAGCAATATCTTCATAAATATCGCAGGGATGTATCACATCATGTCTTGTCGGTGGAATTTCTACCATTAATGTATCCTTATTTTTCATCTCGGATTTTAGAGACATTTTTGACAACAACTCCGCAACTTGATCTGGAGTCTGTCTAGAGAGAAAAAGAGAGAATGTTTACAAATAACTATATAGTTACGTCTACAATTATTACATGTGCAACGCAAGATTCAATTACATACTTAATACCAATGTAACTAATCGCTTTATTGCAGTTGATTTCTTCTGTTCGATATTTTAATTCTGGATAATAGAAAGTTTGATTATCAGGATATACTACTTCCACAATTTCGGCTGTATATTTTTTATTGCAATACTGACTGAAAGCACAGACTATCGTGTCCAACACTATCCTTGCCTACAGATGTGTAATAATTTGTAAGAATTTGTAATAAAATTGCATGTAATATTTCATATATCAATTAATAACATTATTGACATCTTATAAGTTTAAATTATTAGAGTTTTAAATATTACTTACGCGCAAGTAAAAAAAAAAATATATATATATATTGTGTGTGTGTGTGTGTGTGTGTGTGTGTGTGTGTGTGTGTGTGTGTGTGTGTGTGTGTGTGTTATATCTAAAGTATTTCCTAGTATTTCGTAGTTTAATTTCGACAAATATGCTTGTAGATTAGCATTATGCAACATACAAATGTACATACCTTTGTAACATCAGTTGCTGTACATTCAATAAAAATATTTTTTGTATCAAGTGTGATCTTTGAATGATCCCCATTGATAATAGGAGGGAGAGATAAAACAGTACCATTACTATCATACACCACGGGATAAACAGGACTGTCTTTTATAATAGGTAAATATTGTTTGAGCTGCGCGTGTGTCTGTAAACGTTAAAAATACAATACCATATATATATATATATATATATATAGATATGAGGTTTCTTTCTTTATATGTGAAACTATTTACGGAATTAACAAATACGGATGAGAGGGACTGCATACTTACTGCATACAATTGTATGATTTCTTCTCCTGTATATTCTTTTTCCTGATATAGCGGTTTGAAACGTATCTTTGATGGTGATCTAGCATCATATAGAAACGGACCTTTAACTGTATCCAAGTCATGAGTTCCAATAGAAACTAGACTACGTTTTCTTCCTATATTCTGATGCAGTTTATCTTGAAGATCGATAAAACTATTATAAGATTCTTGCGTCAAAGTAACATCTCTCAAAATTGCAGCAACTATATGCCCTCTTATTTTTAAGCACTAAAGAATCAACGAGATAATTTAGTGCTGAATAAATGCATGTATAATGTAAAATTTTCTTTTCATAATTATTCTATACTACCTCTGGGCTCATCACTATCCTTTCCATTCCTGTATTTGGTTTGATTGCCTTGTAACATGGTACGGATATCCTATTTAAGAAAATAAAACTTATACTTTGAAATATAATACTTGAGAAATGAAATTCTTGTTATCTAAACTACAAAAGCATATAGTGCAGCATTTACTTGTTCAAGAATATAAGCAATCCAGTAGTTAGGCTCTCCAAGCACAAAAGATCATATCTGTTAGCAGGTATATCAATTTTGTAGATAATCTCTTCAGAGGCATCTATTGTATCTTTATCAAAACCTTGTTCCTTTGCTAACATTTGTTTCTCCGTTGTCTATTTGCAAAAGGTCAAGTAATTATTGTAAAGTAAAAAATATATAAATTATTGAAATAGTTCAACACTTACTACTTCATCTAGCTCTAAACCAAATTTGAAGCATAGTGTTTGGAACTCATTGTCAGCTAAACCAAGGTTTAAAAGTTTATTAAAGATTAAAATATTTATAATACATAAACTAACTTTACTGATACTTTTATGATAACATTATCAGTAAAAACACATATATATATACATACATATATATATATATAAAACTTACAATATGTTTGGCCTAATGCTTCAAATAGCAAGTCACGTTTTATTCCAATAGTTGGCATCTTTATACTACAATAATCTCAAGATAAACAAGTAAGTCTTCGATATCTTTTTTTTCACAGTAATATCAGGAATCTAATTAAGTCCCCTGTAATTAAAAGTTACAATAAACTTTTAGGTTAGGTAATATCACCAAAACAGATTTCCATCAGATTACTTTATTCCGAAATAATTAGCGTATCTTTTTTTGTTTGACTTAATAATTCTGTTTACATCAAACAAATTGCTTCAATTGTATCGAGAAGTTGTTACATACATCAAAATGACATGTCGTATTACCGGTTATGTTATATTAGCAGATACAACCAATGTTGGAATTGTTGGAAATGGGAAGAGGCGGGTAAAATCCATATGGGTTTACAGCAATAATCGACGTATGAGTCAAGAGAAACAATATCTGATATAAATTTATTCATTATCTAACATATCTCATTTACACTTTTATCTTCTCTTGAAGAAAACATTTATTTTGTGAAAAATGTAAGAAAAATTACAATTTATAGTTCCCGTAGTTTTGCCGTTGCAGGTTGCAGGTTAACTTGCGCGGAGTTCAATGCGCATTAGAAATTGATTGGTTCTCGAGCAAGAGCGTTTTTAATTTAAATGAATTGTAAATGATATAGCTATATGTGTATAAATATATATATAAATATATATATATATATTAAATATAAAAAATTATAATATCACAAAAATTATAATGCAAGTTAAAAAGTAAGTATACAGAGTTTGTACATATTAGTTATATATTATTTATTTCATTTTTATTAACAACTATAGTACTTTTATATTATGGTATATATAAAAGTTAAATGAAATATATGCTTTATTATACATGAAAGAAAAGAAAAGAACGCTTTACATACAAAGGTATCAAAAGCTATTAAATCTATTGCATTGAAATCGAGTTTGTAAACAATACACAGATATTTTTGTTGAAATACAGACAATATTAATGTTTATTTGTCTGTTATTCAGCTTCGTATGTCTAACAAAAGCACAATAATATTTATAGTATTTAATTTGACTCAAAATCTTTTTTATTCATACCTATATAAATAATATCTTGCTTGAAGTATATATAGTGGCATATTCCAGAAAAATGTTTAATGTAGTCTATCATACACACACACACACACGTGTATGTGTGTGTGTATTATAAAGTTTGCCTATATGTTTTAGACAGATGTCAAAGAATCTTTCTCTGTAGTACTTGTTACAAACCTCCCATTATTACCTACAAGTTGGTAGAAAATAACTTGTATTTCCAACCTAAGCAATCATTGCACCAAACGATTGCAAAAAAATGGAAAATCTTTACGATGATTGCTCGTTTCAATTGATTAATGAGCTGATCATTCTAGAATACGAATTATATATATATACATATATTAGAGCAAGAAGATTAGAACTATATTAAATAAAGATGTAAGGCATCTCAAAATGAGTAAGTGAGAGAACTTACCCATACAAGTAATAAAAAAACGACAAAAGGTAAAAGGCTAGTTTAATCCATCCTTCTCTATGGTACATGGACAAGTCATAAGCATTCATTATGCTCGTAGGATCATACAGGCCCGATTCTGTCATCAGAGGCCTGTTCATGTATCTCCACACATGATAAGCTATGAGTGGGATATTGATAAACAGCGAAAAGTATTGTTCGCTAATCAAAAATAAAAGATTGATCACAACGTGCAGTATATACTCTGGTAGAACAAGCTGAAATCAAGATGTGTAATCATTAAAGAATGATCTGTGACAAGTAATGTCTCTGTATTTAACAGGGTTGGTAAAAAAAAAACGTTTTAAACGTGTTTTAAACAGTTTAAAACATGCTTAATTGATGTTTTTAGTATGTTTTAATATGTTTTTTTTATAGTACTGTTCAAAGCATATTTGAAGCATTAAAAACATATTCAAGAAGAAACATAATGTTTTATTCTTAAAAAAAAACATTAGTCTTTACCAACTCTGCCTGTAAACAAAACATTAGCAGCACACTATAGTAGTTTGCCAGCAGATTTGTATAAAATATTGACATCAATTGCATCTATTTTAAATCCATCGAGAAAGTAAACGTAGTAAAAAGACTACGGAATCAATCAGGTAACAATCATTCAATTGATATATATTACTCAAATGATTACAAAATGCACACTTTGCTGATGTTCTATAATTTGCTATTCCTGCTTATTTTACAGATTCTATTTCTGCTGGCATTCTCTGCTGATGAAATTTATAACAGACGCTGCAAAATGCATCTTTTCACAAATTTGGCTATTTGGATGTATTATTTGACATCCAGTAAACGCATACACATGTCTTACCGGATTTAAATTATTACATTGATCAATCGGATTTTTGTATCCAGTCTTTAACTCATCGAACGTGATTACCTGAAGTTTAATAAAAACTATTAATCACACAATAATGATAATACATTATCACGCTATATTGTTATTCGTTAAGGTTATATCACACAATTATATATATATATATATATCATATATATATATATAATCATGTCTCGCGGATTCTCATTATCGTGAATTACCGCGCGAACATTTCCTATGAGAGACATACGTGAAATATCGCGAAAAATATTAGAAACGCGTCGCCGATTAACGCCACAATATATGAAAAAGCGGCTAGGTTGAATGCCATTCTGCACGTATGGACAAAAGCCCACGAAAGCCACCAACGGCACCAACGAACGAATCGCGACAAGTCCGGATATCAAGTGGATCACGTGATAAGCTCGCATTATCTGATACGAAAATACGAAAATAAAAATATTTACGCTACAACTTTTTATTTACATTCTGTCGTTGTCGATTAATCATTTGAATCGACATTTCAAACTATATAAATTTCACAATAATAGCTCGTTTTTTCCTTACGTGTCTTATTGTCTCTCTTACATGGATTTAACGTCAGTCATTCCAAGCAGCCAATTTCAAAACTTACCTCGCGATGTAGCTGTGTGTTACAAATTTTAATTTACTGGTAAAATGTTTGTAGAAATATAAAATTAGAAGTATAAAATTTTGCCGATAACATATGATGGCAGATTGATTGCGAAAATCGCTAACACAAGTTATACATTATTTTCCAAATATTTATATGAAACGAATCATTTGATTAATCAAGTTTTGTTAAGAGATTCCATTAGATTTCTACTTCTTGATTTTTCAACTGGTGAAACATGATCTTTTAATTCTCACTCAAATCTGGCCACTGTTGTCATGCTGCCAATATTTTATTTACTAGGAATCTGTTCTTTCTAAAAAGAACAGATTTCTCAATTTATAAACTATCTTTTCTATTTGAAAATAAATAGGGATATCGTATATTGTGTGTGGACTTTGAAACATTTTCAAAATATGTATTTTATTGCTTTTGTCAGCAATAATACAAAGTATATTTACAATTATGTAATTAGTTATCAATATCACAATAAATAATTAATAAACAATAAATTCTTTTTTTAAATCTGCCTCTTGATTTTGCTATACAAATTTTTTTAATGGAGCAGGTTACATGCGTTTCCATAGATATAGTGTGCCTTCAAACAAGCGACACAAGTAACACGGTGTGACACAATGAATCATTACATCCTTGTTGTTTGCCAATGTTAAACAAAGATGACATGATCACTGTGTCACTTGTTGGAAGGCATACATAATATTTAGACAGTCCTAGTGAGATCTGAATTCACATAAGTATGATTAAGCAAGTGCTGAGCTTCCACTCTAGTGTTCGCTCCTCCTTGATCGTCCCATCTTGAATTATAACTCGAAAGCATTTCTCTTTTGGGCCTCAACATATGCTTGATATTGCCATAATGTATATCTATTTCTTTAAAAGCGTTTAATAAGAATATGGCAATTATAACTACGAGAAAGCCACAAGAGCCACCTAGGATATTTTCCATGCTCATCTTTGTCCATTCCCTGAATAAAATTGCGGATGCTATTATCACTAGAGTTGTAAAGAAGACGTAATAAACTGGCGTCACGATAGATGTGTCAAACAAGTCCAGTGATTTATTCAGATAATTCATCTGTATCATGATGCAGAGGATAACGCTAAATATAAAGACCCATGTTAGCCAATTGGTAAATGCGTTCTTCCCACCAGAGATAGTCTCCTTCAATGCCAAGCCCAAGCCTTTGCAACTCATGACAGTCAAAGAGCCAACAGATGAGCACAGACAAATATATACCAAGATATTTTGCTTGCCATATGCTGGACCAAAGTGGAAGATGATAGACAAGGTAGACATTACTACAATTAAAACGTATAACATATAACCTGGTTCTCTTATTTTAATAATCAGTTCGCTTAGACTGCTAATCTCCTCTTCTTTTGGTGAATGTAATATTATTACCGTGGAACCTAAAATACATAACAAGCAACCAATCTAAAAAAGAAAAAAAACAATAAAAATGCGGTATCTGTATACAGAAAATAGGTATGTACGGGAGAGTGGTCTAAATCGGACCGTGTTCCAAATAGGACCTTTTTAATTTAAATGAATACGGTTAAGTAGATTTGCGTACTATTTATAATGTAAAGTCCTCATAAGACACCGAACATGTGATAGCAGTTTGACACAGTTCTTTGTCATAACATTTATAAAATAGACGCAAATATGTATTTTCAACCACCGTGCGAAAAATTAAAAAAAAAAGAAAATCCTTATAAATCATTATTTAAAAGGTGTTAAAAATTTGAAAAGTAATTGATTTAAGATAATTAAAGAGTGTAGAATTCAAAAATATTAAGCATTTTATGATCACTTTTGCGGTTTAATGTAAAATTTGTTCTAAAGTTTGAAAGGACCCGTGTCCAAATCGGACAGTACAGTGAATAACTTATAGGTCTGGTTGTAGTACTGGTGATCAGCTGATCAGATCTGATGCAAGCAATTAAATCAGTAAAATATCATGAGTCATCAGACTCAAATTAGTTGAATTTTATTAATTACAATTCTAATAATATAAATAGTCAGTAATTTCTTTTTCCGAAAAAATATTTATCTTTGACTATCAAATTGCTCGTTTTTACTCAATACTAAGAAAAAAATACATTAAAATATTAAAAAATTTTATCTAAAAATCCATAAAAATTGGAGTTTTCAATCAAGGGATGGTCTTATTTGGAACCATTGGTTCTAAATCGGACCGGAAAAAGCGTTTTTACATTTTCCAATACAGTTCAACACAGGTGAGAGATACGTCAAAATGGTCTAAAGCAAAAATGAAGGGAATTAAATGATCTTTTCAATGGCACCTTCGATTTTACGATCGGACTTTATTTACGCCTTATAGAGAGCAAAAACTGCAAATAGGTCCGATTTAGACCACTCTCCCCTACTATTATTTTCAACATTAATGTTTCTGCCTGTACAAGTATTTTTCACCTTTCCCAAAAGATTTAGTTTTTCATTAAGATATCTGGATGCTAATACTGCTGATATCAGAACGCTTAAAGCGCCCAACGGCGTTACAAGCGACGCTGGTGCAAATGCATACGCAACAAAGTTGGCTGCTTCTCCTATGCCCACTGTAACGTTTATTTGGAATGTTTTTACACGAATGTCATAAAAAAATTACGTCTAGAACGTCTTTTGAAATTTATACGTACTAGATAAAAGACCAGCCCACCACATCCATTCTTTTAAATAGCCAAAACCACCAGACGATGCACGCAGTCCACCGTACTTTTGGAGTTTGATTAAAGCTTTCTTTTTTATGATAAAACTGGCACCTAAATTAAAATGACGAAGAAATAACTAATTTTTGTACATCTTTTTAATACTTTCGGCTTTTTTTTTCTACAAAAGCAAGGTAATTAAATAATAATACTACTGGTAGAAATTAAGTATAAAATATTGATTCTTGATAAAAAATTCTGATTAAACTAATATATCACATTACTAACCTATAAAAACACTAGAAGCAATTGCTAGTCCTAAACCGATGTAAAAATTTGTTGTATCGTATTGTATATCATTGTTCCTCATTTCTGGAATAGAACTCATTTCTCATTCTATTAAATCAATATTGATTTCCATTCAGTTAAGCCCTAAACACAATGCGAGGCAATAGCGATAGGAATAATATAGAAATAAGAGATATATAAACTATTGCCTCTCCTATTGAACAATGCGGCGAAAGAAATAAAGGCCAACCAATCAGATCGCGTACATACTGTAGTATGTTCTTCTGCTTCAGTAAATATAACCTAAAAACGTTGAGTCAGATTAAGTTATTACAGAACGAAAATTGCCTTCAATTAAGTATTTTTTAAGCAAATCGATTAAAAGTTTGTCACCGAATTTTTCTTTATCGCCCACTTAGTTATCATCGATGTCTTGAATGTCATAATATACTATCCGTATGGTAATTATTATTACAATAATTGAAATAATCCATTTTTTAAGTTTATCACAATCAAATTAGGAGTCGAAAGTGTCGAAACTGGAATTGAACGAATATTGTCGGATATCGTGAAAAGAGGTTATAGCATAAATCAGTGCTCGGAATTGGTTGTTCATTTCGGGCAGTAGGGATGCCGATCCTTGAATCGATGCATCGAGAAAATCGATTCTTTTTACTCTTGAAAATCGATTTTTTATTTCTCGATTCTTTCGGAATCGATCCAATTTTTCAGAGAATCGTATCGACGATTCTCATAGCATTTTCGGCCCGATCGGGTTTGCACCGACCTTGGTTGGATTGATCTTTCCTATTGGTTGACGTTACCTTCTCTACCAATAGGAGAGCACAAAACGCCATTGTTCCAACCCAGGTTGGTGCAAACCTGGCCGGGCCGAAAACGCTATCAATTTTTACAAATTGTTAGGGCCTGCGCACAATAGAGAAACAAAAATTAGATATTAAGACTTCAACCTATCAGAAACCGCGTATTCCGATGTAATCAGTTTCTGATAGGTTGAAATCTTAATATCCAATCCCTGTTCCTCTATTGTGCTCAGGCCCTTACATTGTACTCTTTGAACATGTACATACGTATTAACTTACATATATTTTTAGTGGACTTTAGGGCTTGAACACAATAGAGGAACAGGGATTGGATATTAAGATTTCAACCTATCAGAAACTGATTACATCGGAATACGCGGTTTCTGATAGGTTGAAATCTTAATATCTAATTCTTGTTCCTCTATTGTGCGCAGGCCCTAAGAAACCTCGTCTATATAATATATTATTTATAATATAAATATCATTATTTTAATAGTTCATTTAAATCAAAGACATAGAGAATGGACTGCGCAATCCGTATCTAAGTAATGTATCAAATGTGGTCCACAATAATGAGAGAGAGGGACCGTGGGAGACGGCCAATCTCCCTCTGGGGTGATCCCGATTGACCACGGCTCGATTGGACACCACCAATCACAGCGACCGGTGCTTAGGAGCTTTGTAGTCTCAAGCGCTGTGAGTGTCCAATTGAGCCGTGTCCAACTGGGTGCCACCCTCATGAAATATGTCGGAATGGATTCCGATCGGAATTATTCCGTTTTCCCTAGCTAACACAATAGAAATCTAGGGAATAATTGAATATTTCCGATCGGAATCGATTCCGACTTGTTCTATGATAGGTACCCTGTACGAATTCGTACCGACTCGATATGAGCCCTATTGCTGGATTCACACTGCATCCGATTTTCATCGTACGACGCAAATCGGATCCAATGTGAATCCAGCAATAGGGCTCATATCGAGTCGGTACGAATTCGTACAGGGTACCTATCATAGAACAAGTCGGAATCGATTCCGACTTGTTCTATGATAGGTACCCTGTACGAATTCGTACCGACTCGATATGAGCCCTATTGCTGGATTCACACTGCATCCGATTTTCGTCGTACGATGCTCTGCAACCAATCAGAAAACAGGATTCCGATGATACGAAGCAAAATCCATCGGAATCCTGTTTTCTGATTGGTTGCAGAGCATCGTACGACGAAAATCGGATACAGTGTGAATCCAGCATTTGTGTTTTTAGACAGTACTTTTGTGTTTTTAAAGCAGTGACTTTTTGTGTTTCAAAGCACATCTGATAACATCATTGTTAAATGCTAATAGTTATTGCACGTATGCAACACAGTACAAAACAAATGAACTTTTCAAATTTCACATTTTTTTCTTTTTCGGGCGCATACTTATGAAAACAAATTTTCATTAATCTTCACTATTGAAAGCAAATTTGTATTGCGTTTAATTTGCAATGTTACAGTGTATATAGATACAATATTGAAATAAAGAATTGATATAAAGAGAAGATAATGATAATTGATAAATTAAAAGCTCTAATTTGTGTGCCTACATATTATTTTAATAATAATTTGTATACTTACAACTTTTTCTTCCTTCGTTTCTCCTCTTTTTGTCTTCCTCTTTTTTATGTTAGTCTGTAATGAAGTATTCACATTAATTAATAGAGAAAAAAAAATTAATAAAGTTTAAATTCGTTTGCGATATAAAAATAAAAATATTCATAAAGTTTTTAACTCTCCGTTTTTAAGCTTTCTATATTGAATCCAAATAATATTACATATATGTATAGTTGAGAGAAACGAATTCGTTTCTTTGAAAGTCATTGCTTAATCGTGGCTAAAGAAATAAAAATCATAAGAAAATCGATCTTGAGAAAATCAATTTTGATGCACCGCTAGTTGTGACGCAATAATTTCAATTCTCTAACACCTCGTAATCATATATATTACATCGCGATTAGTCCTTATATGATATTTTAACTTATAGACAATATATTTCTCGACATTCCGTGTCGTGACTCACGCGACGTGATTTTAGCGAGTTAAGTAATGTACCGCACAGTAAAGGGATAAGCTAGAAAATTGAATCATAGTTATCGCATAATTATATCAACGTCTATATATATATATATATATATATATATATCTATATAGGAAAAAAAAAAACAAATTAAAAAGTTAAGATTATATTTCGTCTTCTTCTCTTTGCAGAAAATTTTTATAATAAAATTCTTGAATCACTAAGAAATGAGATTGAATTAATTTATTTAAAACATTCAAAGAAAAAAATATATAAGCGTTTAAAAGGAAAAAGAAACATTTTAAAAATATATCATTGACTGCGTTCAGCAGACTCAGCAGTTTCGCAACTGTTTTATGATTCGTCGCGCTGATTGGATCATACTTTTAGATTTAAAGAAATAGTCCTATCTCAGCAAAGAATCACAAAACGGTTGCAAAACTGTTGAGTCTGCTAAACGCAGCCATCGTAAGCATTTTATCAAGTTAAGTTTTAGATTGTATATATTATCTACAGAGATCCTATAGATTCTGAAGAATCTCTCTTTGAATGAGATAACATTTATTAATTTAATCGACAATACGACGCATTTCATTTTTATCGATGGAATCATAAATATTATACATATACGTTTAGTTAGCGAAATAGTCTTTAGGATGGATTTTATACAACTCATTGTATTCTCTCTCTTTTTCTCTATCTCTCACCTTGTTTTCCCTCATTCAATGAGTATGTACACTTGCAGTAGGTAAAAAAAATTTACTTGCGCTTTCAGTTATCAATCGTGAAGAGTTGATATATTGATCATTGACAATTAGTAGTAGATAGCCAAGTAATCAACAAGTGGTTTTGTTATCTTTTGTAAGTATGTACCTATTATTTAGAATAATTTAAATGAAGGAAAAAAAATTAAAAGATACAAAAAATGCAAATAAAAAAGCACAGACTTCAGCACTAGACTCTTAGAAAATTTAACATAGCAAAAAACAATCTCTATACAATATTATCATTTATTATTGGCAATTTTATAAACAGACTAAATACGGAATAAGGAATAATGCGATGATACAATACAAAAAATACTGAATTCTTATTTAACAACATATTTATTTCTATTTAATAAATCTCTTTACTTTTTTTCCTCTTCTTTGATGGTCCAATTACAGTTTCTTCCGCTTGCTCTATTTTATGAATTTTATCAATCTTGATTCCTTTATTTTCTTTTTTCTTTTTTATCTTTGGCAGTTCAACTTCAATTTCCTTATTTTGCTCTTTTTCGTCATAATCAGTTTCTTGAAGTGTATTTTCATGCTTCGATTTTCTTTTCTTCCTCGATTTTTTCGTTTCCATGACATCCAATGTCTCCTCTTGTATATCTTTAGATTCATTCAATGCTTTATTAAAATTAAATGAATCATTGCAAACATCCATTTTTTCAATTTCTTTTTTACTTTTTGCTTTTATTTTACTATCTATGTCAGGTACTTCAAATTCAACAATATCTGCCGATATCTTCATTTGTTCATCACTCATTGAAATTACTTTCTTCTCTTCCTTTTTCTTCTTCTTCTTCTTCTTTTCACATTTCTCTTGTTGATGTGCTGATGTTTTCGCCATGTCATCTTTCTTGATATTCAAATTAGTCCCAATAAGATTCATACTATATTCGTTACCCCCTTTAAGTTTGCACTTTGGCAGAGTCACATCAAAATTTCTCTCAAATACTGCTACGAAAAAACCATTGCAAAAATCATCATCTGGCCTCGAATACAAACATAGATCTTCGCAGTTGTATTTTTTCGAGCTGAAGTTTGTCCAGTCATTTTTGAGCAATTGCCTAACTGGTAGCAAACGGTAAGCATTTCCAACATTAGCCAGAACTTCGTCTACTACTTCCTCATTCTCTTCGGGATGTAGAGAACATGTGCTGTAGGTTATTCTTTTCGCGTTTGGAAAATTGAACAGCGCATATCTCAAAAGATAAACTTGAAACGATTGTAAATTTTTCAAGCGCTTTGGTTCGGGCGTTCCATCCATTTCGCTCTGTTTTGGTCTATCAATAATGCCTTTAATAAAAATTGTAAGATTATATCGTAAATTATACATAAATGAAAATTATGTCGGTATATTTTACAGAAGATAATTTACAATTAAATAATTACTCGTTTCGCGAATAGGAATAGTGCAAAGAATCATAAAAAAATTATTTTCTATTATCTTATTCTGTCCTTTATGCTATTTTTTGATTAATTTAAAAATTTGACATTATTATATAATTTATATTAAAATTTTTACCTGATCCAGAACAAGTTGGATCGACTAAAATGTATTCCACGTGTGAATACAATTTTGGATCGAGAGTTAAAACGTCTTGATTAAGAGGCTCCACACAGAGAGCATGAGTCTTTTCTATCTGAGTGAGTAAGGTTTTAAATCTTTTAGCATCAATCTCCACGGCATAAATTTTTCTATTTAAAAATAATAATTTATATTAGAGTATCTGTTTCTAAACTTTAATTAGTTTACTTAAATTACTCAATAAAAATATTAGATATTAATACATTTCTTGATTTTCTTCATTCATATATTATCTAATAACAAATCTCTGATTGAGAAACAAACTGTACCCATTATTTTGCAGTTTTGCTGCCACATGAGTAGCTTTCATTCCGGGCGCAGCGCACATATCCAACACTGTAGAACCACTAATAGGATTCAACAAATGCACCGGCAAACTGCTAGCCTAAGTGTGAAATAAGATAGTTAATGTAAAACTATGAAACGTATTTGTTTTTTACTAATCTTTAATTAAATCTTAATGATGCTAATTATAAGGTATGTATTAGTAATAGATACATTTTAGTATTAATACTTAATTTACTAAAAAAATTTGGTAAAAGTTGAGTAAATGTAATCTAATATTAAATAATAATAAAAACTGCCCTACATATACATTTTTAGAGGGCTATTAGTTATGTGATAAATATTTGATAATACTAGAATAATCGTACAAGTTACAAAGAAAATATTATCAGTAGAGATAGAAAAGATTCTATTATTTATACCTTATCTTGAAGAATAAGCTTGCCATTGCGATAGCCGCTGTGATCGTGAAAGATTGTCGAAGGCGGAAAAGCTAACATTTCTGGTATATGCAGATCTTGTATAAAATACGGCTTTGATAATTGCGACAAGGATTGTAGATATGAAGAATGTGTTGTACTTTTGGGTAATAACTGCCATCCATCCTGTTGAAAAAAGGAGATTGCCTCTTCCACTGATAACAGAAGAGTATTGACACGAACGTATCTAGGTCTTTTTACTGAAAAGAGAAAAGAAAAACAATCAAATCTTTTTGAAGAATCTATTAAATACATTGTATATTTTTTAAATTTTATGTACACACACGCGCGCGCGCCCATTCATGCATACATATATGTACATTTATGTGCATTCATGATAAGATATGCACATAATTTTGAAAGAAAAAAGGAGAAAAGATCTGATCTAATGAAAAAAAGTTCAATTTTTTAATATAGCAAAAAAAATGTATATTTTAAGCTAAATTTTCTTTTTTTTTTCTATATTATCTATAAATGTACCTGCATTTCTTTTTCATTAAAATTTTTTCATTTAACTGAAATCAAATTTACATTAAAATTTAAGTTTGATCTTAATCATGCACTCAAAGTATCTCATCCAATTTTTTAAATATTTTTATATCATATAAAGTCTGTTTTAAATGCACTTATCAATATTTCCCAGCATATAAAACCAGAAATAGCGCAATATTTCCAAGTAAAAGTACACAAATTTAAAGTAATATCTAAATAAGCGAGACTTTATGGAATAATGATAAAAGGCAGTTTTGTATTTCTCATGTAGAATACATAGCAGATTTAAGATATCATCTTTTGAAAGGGATTTATAGGTCAATTTACAATATTCTGAAAATAAAGTACCATTTGTTGCTACTTTATTACAATAAAGATTATTCATCATTATATATAGTTTTTATTTATATACATTGTATATTTACATCTTTTTTAGTAAACTTTTTCTTTCTCCATTATGCATATAGACATATCAATTACATATATATTCTTTAATTAAGTAACAAAGAATGCTCGTTTTTTAATTAAATAATATAAAAAATATTTGACATTTTTTACAATTTTTTGTTTACAAGTTCTTTTTTTTTGGAAAGAAAACTATTTTAATTATCTTTCTTATTTAAACTCTCTTTAGTTTCTATTCTAATTTCGTCTTCACTTTGTTCCTTCTCCTCAACAGGCTCATTTAAAGCCTGATAAACATAACAGGAGATAATCAAATTTACTGTGATTACAGCAGCCAGTACAGAAATGTAATTAGTCACGGCAGTATCAGTTTGGAATTCTAATATCATAAAACGTTGTATCATAAAGAAAGCGGCAAACGGCAAAGTGAACATGGCGATGCTATAGAGGAACAATGTTCCCAGTACTGCTGCCGGACCCATCGCACAGTTGTTCTTTTTGTTGTAAATCGATTCCTGATGACAGGGTCTACTTTGATAATCTTGCAGATCTCCAATTTTAACTTGTTTGTTCTGTCGACTGGATAATATTCTGCAGTTGCGAATAATCAGGACCATGAAGGAGAATGTTTTTACTGCTTTAGGACGAGTCTCCAGAGATCGAAATTCTGCAAAAATGCAAGCATGCGGTGAGTATTAAAGATAATTACCTTTGTCTTTATGATCGACGAAAGTTTTTATGTAGCCGAGGTTTATTGACTCTTCCCGTAGTTTGTTTTCGTAAGCTAGGACAGTTAGGACTGGCTTAGAGCGGTTCTTCAAGCATCTCTTGCGCCATAAAAGCTCCGTTATGAGAACTCTGGCTAACCAGGGATTCAGACGCGGTTGTTCCGTTAGAATTTGGGTCTTGTCAAACAGCTGGTCTAACTGAGGTAACGCTTGTAAGACGTTGACCGCGAGGCCGTATATGCCGGCCACATTCTGAATTGTACGATAAATTATATTCTTATAAAAGCAGCATAATTAACGGAAGATCAGATCTTTTCCAATTGATCTTATATTCTTCTTACGATTATGTTTTACACTTACAGGATGCTTTTTTTCGTAAATCAACGTTTTTAGGCTAGCACCATCTTCTCGCACGCGGCGCACAATATCGGCCGTGATTTTGTAGATACGCGGGACCGTAACAGAATGCACAAATTCATTCGACATATTACGGATTTCAACTCTTTGAAAATTTTAATCTTTTTTAACCAAGTAAATCTGTCATTATCCACCTCGATAGACTATTACGAATTACTTGAAATCACTTCAAATTGCTTCAAAATTATTCGTCTCACGGATTAGGTTACGTTAGGTTTTAGTTCATCTGTTCATTTTACAGGAGAAAGTCTGAACCTACTCAAGCCTAAGGGTGTGTTCACCTTCACGAAAAAGCAGAAAGCGAAAAAGCAGTGGGCAATCAGAACTCGTGTTGGTAGTAGTAGCAATGGTCGCGTTCAGCAGACTCAACTGTTGCGGAGCGGATCCGTGAGCGCTCGCTATTGGCTGCGGTCCACTTAGGGCTTCAAACGCTACAGAGTATTTGTAGCACTGATATGCTGGATTCACACTGCATCCGATTTGCGTCGTACGACGCTCTGCAACC